AGTTTGACCAATGAGGAAGCTACTCGTCGGTGCGTGTGTGCATCTTAGCCAAACTTTGAAACGCACCAACTTGAAACTGCTTATGAACCAAGTTGGAAATGCTTACGAACCAAGTTGAAAATGCTTATGAACCAATTTGCTTCCTCTATTAACTAACTTGCCTCGGAAATGGTATAGACGTGGTAAACACTGGGGTTGCCCTAGATATCTATACACCTCCCTGTGAATCACGGTATGGTTGTGTTTTTAAATAAACTTTTCCACGCCTTTTCTAGAGTGACATGGCGCGCAGCTGGATTGAGGGCGACTTTCGGATTAGAAGAGCCTACCACTATATACAGCATACACACCCAGAGATACGCGAGTAGTTGGTCGATGCGTCCTCCCTTGGACACTCTCAGCTCTTGGAATCTCACAAAACCCCTTGGTTGCCGCAATATGATACAAGTGTTGTTTGGGCTCAGCGATGTTGAGACTAATACCTTGACGATTTTCTTGAGCCTATCCTTGGTCCTTCCTAAAGATAAGAATACCTGTCGACAAGCATTCGCAAGGGATCACTTCGTCTTTGCGCCATTTATCAATGAAAATGGGAACTAAACCAATCACCACTGAGCCCCCACTATTTTTCACAGCGATTGTGGAAAGTCATTGGGATCAAGCACTTCCTTCAGCCTCCACAGCACCGGCCCGTGCATTTCGTTAGTTATTCTGTTTCTTGTCCCCCTTAATCTTAATATCAGAATGCACCATTGTCTCATGACGCTGATCACGGGGTTGGCTTTATGCATCCTTTCGCAACAGTCCAAACCAGTCTGCTTATCCCGTTTACTCCTCCACTACAACCAGCAGATCTTGCTGCACCAGATCCCTTCAGAATTTTGTAGAGGCATTTTGCTACATGTTACTTTGCCAGACCACTTGATTCCTCCATATCTATAGCTTGCTCATCCAGCGGCCGTTTCACAATGTGCCCTTAATTTCCTCGCCAAGTTACACCCACTACCCTCTCCGCGCCGTTTCACTTACAGTGTGTCTTTCGTATCCTCTTCTTTCCCTCCCCCTCCCCCAGGAATTGGCTGTAAAGTGGAAAGTCGGGGGTCACATGGATGGTCTGACCACTAACGGCGTCATGATCCTTCGACCGCGCGTCCCGAGCTCAGACGATTCCACAGGTCAGAGGATCTCCTGGTGGCTTCTTAACGGTCTTTATTTCATCATTCGTCCAATTTACTCCAACTCTCCTGTATGCGTAGTTGCATGTCTTCAGAATTGTACTTGATCGCTTGGAGTGATAACGCCTTTTCGTATCTGTTGTGCCTGCTTCACTCCAACCAGTTTCATTCGATATTTCGAAAGTGCCCGCTGTCCTCATTGTCACTTCAGCTAAGTTAGGATGACGTTCGTATCTGTTTTGGAAACAGTGCATTAACAATTCACGAGCACGACCACGTTACTTGAAGGGGATGTTCGGGATCATGCTCGGCAGTAGGAATGGCCGTTAATACATAGACTCTTTTTAGGTTACTTCAACCGACTCAACTGTTTGAGTCGCTCGTTTTCATGCGGAAAAGTGCCTTCATTCTCTCCGCTACTTTGTCTGTGCATTCTGCGGGCTGTTAGAGTGGCGCGTTGGCTCAGTTTTATTCTAGCTTCTATTGATTTCAGCGTCCGAATACTCATACTTTCTTGAGTTGGCTCACAGCTTTCTTGCGCGGTTTAACCCACTGCAGAATTTCCGCGGGATCGTTCTCATTGTCTCCTCTCCACTTTTTCTCCCATTAAGGTTTTCCCTCTAGCTCTCCCGAAGCGTAAGGAATACCGCTGAAGTGCATCGTCTCGCACACTGATGTATCTCCACTTCTTACGGACTACCAGTCAGAAATGATTTCGCGTTCATTTTGTTGTAGGCAGAATATATCATCTGTCATATATACCACCCTTTGCATACCTTCATTCCATCCGACGTTCATGGAATCCATACATGCAAAGGAAAACGATGACTAGATGAAAATTTGGTGTTTCCCGGGCGGGCAACACCCATTTTTCATCTGCTTTGGCTACGGTCCCAGTGAAATGAAATCCACACACACAAAGGAAAACCATGACCTCTTAAGAGGACTTTCACAATCTGCCCACCTTTCACTACGGTTCCTGGCTCTGCCCAGTGGTATTTCCTGCCCGATGCGCTCACTGTACGCATTTAGGTAACACCCAGCTTAGTTACCAATGAATTTGACATCTCCGCTCCGCGGACCAAAGTCGTACGGTGCTCACCTCATTGTCGATCCCAGCAGATATCTGCGCGCACAAAGTACGATGGAGTAGCCATTGGATTGACGCGCGAAGCAGGTGTCCAAGTCAGCGGAACCTGCGCAAACTCCACAGCTCATCGTTCAGTAGGGTTTATCCGGCCTAGAGGTTCGTTGGCGGACGTCGTCATCACTAGTACTATGTTACTGTTGTGAGCCACCAGTTCTCCGAAAGCATTAACGATCAGGAACACGCAGTCCGTGAACATTCCTTTTCACGAGCAGGTCAATCCTCGGTACCCCAGAGTAGAACATCTCGTACCGCCTTGTCTTTCAGGAGTGAGGTCACTGTCACTTTGGCACCTAGGGGTGATGAGGGTTTGCCTATGCTACCCGGGACCTCACACCTCCACTCCCATACTCGGTCAATCACCTGGTCTCCGTCGCAATGTGACTGGACCTTAACGTGATGCGACGGTTTGCCTACCTCCTCGACCAATTGAGCTATATTGGATGAGGCCCTTGGGCCATTTGACAACTGCTTCTACCAGGTTGGTCAATAGTTAGAGATCAGATAAAATACAGTTGGAAGCTTGAAGTGGCATGGCGTCCATTTATGTAAAAACTGAATCATAGCCACATCCGCTGCCTTGCGGACAGGCTTCTGAGCCAATGGCTTTGATTGAGGACCCTGATCGTCCTTCTGTCAAGGTCTGGGCGCCCTGACAGTATCTCAGCCCGCATATAGTCATGACCATTTCTTCAAACTCCAACCACATCCTGCATCTGCCGTCGCTCAGCTTATCAAGACTCGCCTTATCTGCTGCATACAGCAGGGTGGATAAGCAAAAACATGCTACTGCTGACGCCTCCTTTCTTTCTTTTCTACGCCCGGCTTGTCTTCTTGCCATTGGTTGCACGCATCCGGAGACGCTGATGCGAAAACCACTGGTCAAGATAGAGTGGGCATTGTCCCCAGCTCCAAGTCTGAGTCATTGTTGGTTGATTGGCTTCCCGTGAACAGCCGTTTGTGTGCACTACATTTGATGCCATCAACTATAATTTTTCACGAAGTTGCACTAGACGCTGTTTGTGGTCTCCATTTATGCTCCCACCGACTGCAGCACTGATGCTGTCGAGGGCGCCTTCTACCACGAACTGAACGCGCTGCATCGCAGCGTTACCAATTCAGACATCATGGTTCTTGTAGAGGATAGGAATGCGCAACTAGGTCGCCTGAGCTCTGCACAGTCTCAGCTAGGGGGTAAGTATGGACTTAACTGTGACCTAACAGGCAACGGCGAGCGTTCCTTTGCATCTGTGTGCGGAGCACCGGCTGTTTCTTAGTAGCACCGCTTTTAGACACAGTGGGCGCCGTAGTGCTACTTGGCGACCACTTATAGCTGGCCTGCGATAGACCCAAATTGATCACGTTGCCATAAGATACATGTTTTGTCGTTTCATCCTAGACTGTCGCTCGTTCTGGAGTACTTGCATAGAATCTGATCATGCCTTGGCACACTGTCGTTTCTCCATGAACTTTACCGAGAGGCGTACCAAGCGCCTCCCTCGACTCGCGACTGTGAAATTATCTCAGTCCCCGATCAACCAAGCCTACCACGATCCCCTGCGTACCGAACTTTCCTTGTCTCGTCCTAATGACACTGAGATTCAGTGGAATCAGATCTCGGCCGCCATGGACGATGCAGAAGCCTTCGCTTGCGGCACTATCAGTTGTCACCGCAGCAGTCACTGGGTGTCTGAGAGGTCGGTGAACTTGTTGGAACCCAAGAAAAAACTCCCTGCTGGCTCTGAGCATAATGTGACCAGACGGACTATTAGGCACGAACTAAAGTGGAGCCTGCGTGCTGACAAGAAAGCTTGATGGACTAGTAGGGCTCAGGAATTGGAGGAGGCATGAACAGTAGGTAATTGTCGTAAGCTGTTCCGCACCACTACTCCCAGAAACCCAGGCGTCAATGAAACAATCCAGGACAGCACGGGTGCCCTGATTCATACACCGTATGGCTTGTTGGGCGGAACACTTTCGATATCAGTTCAGCTGACCACCTGCTTCCGAACCTCTTCCTACTCAGGTGATGCAGCATGAACCATGGTCGGTTAGTTTGGACTCTAAACCTCTGATGGATCCTCTAAACTTTTGAGGATCCATCAGAGGCTGAGATCCGAAACGCGCTCACAGCCCTTAATTGTTTTTGTGATGCATGCCCTGATTCCCTCTCATCCGCACTATTTAAGGGTGCTGATGTGATCCTCTGCAAAACACTGACCTCTCTGTTCGAACAGGTCTGGAACGAAGAGACCATTCCAGCTAACTGGGGTGAATCGATTACTGGCGATATACAAGAAAGGCAGTCGCATTAACTGCTAACCACAGGGGTGGTGGTAAATAAAATTACTGGCCCCAATTCTCCTTCGTCGCATCACTGCGCAACGAAAATCCTGGATTAGGGAAGTGCAGGCATTTTTCCGCCCAGGACGGGGCTGTATAGACCACATATTCGCTCTGCTGCAGGTGCTAGAGCAGCGCCACACGTACCACACTCCGACACTAGCTGTGTTCCTGGACTTTAGGTGTGCGGAAAGGTGTTCCCATGAAATATGTGAACATTTTACGAGACTTATACTCGAACACCACATTTCGCGTTACTGTCTATGATGACTTGTCGGATGCCTTTCCGACGACAAGCTGCGTTCGTCAGGGTAGCCAAATTTCCTCATTTTTGTTCAAAAAATAAGTCGTTAGCTGAATGCCGTAACGGCGCTTCGCTGCCGCGCGACCACCACCAGTCGCGCGTGGGCTGAGTATACCGCAAGGACGCCCGCCCCTACGCGGATGCGAACCAGTGATCTTATGATTGCAAGCCAGGCGCGCAGACCACTTGGCCAACGGCCGACTTCGTCGTGAACTCCATCGTGGATTGTTCCTTTACGGAATCTCACGATTCAGACGTTGAGGTTCTGCCTGGGGAGAAGCTGGTTGATCTCGATTGTGCGGACGACATTGTCCTGCTATTTAACGATGTTAGGGCAGCACAATCAATTATGAAGAGCCCATCATGAGTGGTCCCATCATTTGGCATGCGCTTTGCACTTTAACAGTGCATAGGATTGTTACAGGACCACCGGCTACTTGGTGATTCCTTGATGGCGATGAACTCGAGTTAGTTGACCACTTCGTCCACCTTTCCAGCTGCATCGACAATGGTGGACGCATGGCGTCTGAGGTCAGTTCACGTATTGCAACAACTAGAACTGCCTTCTCCAATCCACGACATCTCTGGCGGCAGAAATGAGTTTTCCAGGCTAGCCTAAGCTTGCTGACTGAGGGTGACCATGATGAATTAGCTGAATTATACCAAAATCCTCACTACTTATTAGTTACATAAAAATCTCTCCGTATGGCTCTCAAGGCCTTGCACCGTGCCGAGGCGTTATGCGAAAGTCCTAGCTCGTGGGGCTAGACGCTGTCCTCTGCACCGTTCGTAACTGGATAGGCAGTGGAAGATGAGCCGGGCTATATCTTAGTCAACTGTCAATCAAGCAGGTCACAGGCTGTCACCCATGTTGAAATGGCACTAGCTGTTGGAATCCGGAAGTCGTGGGGGCGGAACCCAGCAGGGGTCCACTGGAAGGCGCACCACTGACGATATCCAGATGGTCGCAGCACCGGCGTCTGGTGTTTTTCCTGACTAGCCTAAGCCTGCTGACTGAAAGTGACCATGATGAATTAGCTGCATTATATCAAAATCCCCGCTACTCGTTAGTAATAGAAATGAGTTTCCCTCCGTCTAAAAGGCCGTCACAGTGATGCCCCTCCTACTTTCTGGGAATGAGACGGTCCCTTCGGTCTGAAGATCTGAGGTGCTTTCACATCTCTGATCATTGTTGTCTGCGAAGCAGTGCCGGTGTCGAGTTTCACCAGCGTGTCCAGGACGATGTTGTTCGCAGACGAGTATTAGGTGGTGATAACCAACCTAGTTCCTTATAACAACAAATAGCACTGAATTAATTGCCTTGGCTTGGTCACGTACTTTCTGCCATCCTCTCACCTGAATGAGTAACATCCGATGCTTTCATAACCTTTAACTAAGATTCGTCTAGCACACATCTAAATATTGCAATTTACCGGAACTTCAGCTATTCTTCCTCTTCTCTAATTGGGCTTCGCGGTCAAGCCACGTGTATGCCGCTTTCTCTAATATCCATCCACACGGATCATTTATGTATAAGTTTAGCGCAACCAAGCCCCATTCGCATATCCGGTCGAGCCACGAGACTCGACATTGTTAGCTGAATCTCCATGTACTATGGCTGCAGTTTTTTCTACAGCGGACTTCCCAGGGTACCAGTCAACACCGGCCGTGTTCCACTAAGATTCCGCATGATTTTCTTCTCTCCCCATCCCTACTCAGTCATTACTCTTGCTTATGGTTTACCCTCGGTGTATCTCTAAATGAAATCCTACGACTGAGCTTTGATCCCGCTATGTCTACACTTCATACGATTCTCACAGTGGAAGAACAACTTTGAAAACCCTTTTTTCAAACACTCGTCAGTGGTCTCAGAGGAGGAGTCCCGAACGTTGCTTCTGTACGGGTACATGTTCGCATAGCCTTGATTTCTCCGTTCTATGTCCAAACTTCTACTTCCTCCTAACGAGGTTGTTTTCTTTCTTTCCTTTACTATGTCTCCATTTGCCGTATGGACATGAAGCGTCGACGCTCTGAAGACGTCATCACCTATGTTTCATTATTTAAGTGCCCTCACTTTCAGCCACCGCACTTCACCAACTGCTCATCCATACAGGTGCCACACAATTCACATATTCTCATTTCTCTGCTAACTTTCACTTGTAGTAGACGCTTCATGTGCTCCACTCAATGGTCAGTTTTGTATGAAATTGAAAGAAAGTTTTCTAATGACTATTCCATCATCCCTATAGTCATGTCTACTTGTTTCCATTGCTCGAATCTGTCTATGCGTTGAGGTGACCTGTCAACAGCCCAATCTGATATGTAACCGGTATTCCACTCTGGATATTCTCGAGCCCCTGCTTACAAGTGATTACTGAAAATCCTCCCTCTTTAACGCAAACATTTCTGGCCTGCATTTTCCCTGACTCATTTTGGTGGCACATTTTGATTCCATTTGGCTTTGTTAATTTCTTGACTACGGTACATTTCAAAGGTGATCTCTCGTAGACACAATCCGACATCCACCACACATCCGGAAAGGCATCAGAGGACCGTTACTTTTTGTCTATCTGTCCAACAGCTAGCATCTGTAGCCCTTCACTTTCGATTGATTGCCATCTGACGGGGACGACTCATCTAGGGAAGTCGTGTTCCAGAAGGCCAACTCCTGTCCTCTTCACATTGGAAACTCACATAGTAGTGGCGGTTGGTCCTCACACTTTGTCATGATGGTTGCTGCTTATCCCCAGTGGCCCAGTAGTCTAGCCACCGACTCGAAACTGTGTAGTCGCGGGTTCTAGCACCTTGCCTGGAAGATGAGATGCGCACTGTTGACGAGTATGGAAAGGATGCAATTGCTTTTCCGGATCTACCATGCCTTTTTGACGAAGTGTAGCTCCTCCCTTTTACTACTCCAACAATAGTACCTTTACTTGGCTTCTCTTGCCTCCGTGGTCTTTCACCGCAGCAAAATCTGCGTATCTCCATCCCTTTGAATGGGATTTTGAATGACAGGAAACCGTTCGTATGTCACTTATTTCGCTCTCATAAGCCACTTGTTCCGACTGTATAAAACCTCTTCACGATTCCCCTTTTATGATTGTGTTCTATTTGACAGTTAACGCTGGGTCGTGTGGTATCACTAGAAACCACCGTTATTCCGTCGGTTGTGATCTTCAGTGACTCATCTGAATGCTTTTCTCACAAGTCCGTATTCATCAAATGCACCCGTCGACTCTTTCCACCATCAGTAGGTTATTTTAAGCATTTTATTGGTGAGTACTTTGTGTCAAGGACTCCGACGGAACACGATGAACATAGTGGAACGCGGCACACATCCCTCGTTGCATTGGTGTTTTCTGTGGACCTAAACATCTAACCCTAATCTGCTTGTCAGTTGTGTGTTGTGGCATGAGTCGTAGTGACTCAGTGCCCTTCTCTTACCACTGGTTCCCACACAGTTTCGCATTGGCCCTCTCACATTGCTCTTTTTTCTCTTTATCATTCTGATTACCTGCTCTTGACATCCACGCTAGTTACTTATGTGGCCTTATCTATGATGCCTGTCTTGTGTGCTTGTGTACAGTATGCTACCATCCAAATCTAGCTATGTTCACGCATTTACTCCTGCTTAACCACCCCATACCGATACTTTCCTCCAATGCATCCTCCGTTTCTGTCCGCATAAGTGTGCTTTTTCCCACATGGCTCTATCAGTACATATTAGTTTCTCTTCAACTATATTATTCTACGCCGTACATGGACTGTTGCCTTCACTACCTTAGAATACGTTTGGACCCGATCAGGAAGTCATCATTTTAAAAGGCTTATTAAACAGCTGGTTAATCTGTCTGTTGGGCGACGTTTCTCTTTCTCAAACAAAGCTTTCGTGTCCAAAGTCAAACGTCGTCCGGAAAATGCATTAACAACTCGTTCACAAAGCTTTCTGAAAGGACGGCTACCTTCTTATCTTACGTGCTGTATGGGGACATTGGTCATCCAAAATCCCTGCAAAATGTCATACTGATTCATCACTCCTAATTACTCTTCTTATCTACCGATCTCCGGATCGTACACACTTTTCCATTTTTGGGGGTTTTAACGCTGATGTAGCGGTGGTGGTTTTATTGCTTGTGCCATCTTTTTATCCACTTCGAATCCGGTGTCTCGCCTTCTACTTTTGCCCACTGCATTACCACTAATACACTCGCTGCTTCCACTGAAGTCCTTTCCACCTGTTCCTTTTTCCTTTATCTTGTCAACAATTTCGGGAAACTTCCGGAAAGAGTGAGTATCTTTTTCCATTCGCATATACACATGCGTGTATGCACGTTTTTTGTCTTTGTGGTTATACGGATGGCATTATCTTGCACTGGACTTTCACAGTGATACATCTGAAAATAATAAAATTAGTGCATCGTGAAGTAATAAAAACAGGCAAAGTGCTATATTAAAGTGAGAACAGTTAGTTCCCTCAACACGTGGAGAACATGAATACCGGTCAAGTTGCGCGCATTTCATATTGTTTCATCAGTACCAGGAACTGATTTATGTAGCGTTCAAAGGTTATTAGCGAACCAATCGCACGTGAGGAGGGTTTTAGGACGGGGAAAGCATATTGTACTACAAAACTATGCTGAATCTTATTGGATAGTAGAATCTCAAGATGGAAACTCATTCGCTGGGAGCTTAGTTTACTCTGATATATCCTTTTATCTGCCAGCAGATGAGATTTGGACTGAGAAGTCTTGGCTATCTGTCCGCTTATTAAAGAGGAAGCAGATCCATGCACGCTCTAGCCAGCACGGAACTTTGCAATTAGTGTGCGATTATAAATCTCTACTTGCCATCTAAGTGTTGGGTAGCATGCTGGAGACATTGCTCGAATGTGCTATCGACCTTGGCCCATGGATGGTTCATTCATCAACTATCCAACTAGTCCAAGGCTGAAGCACCTACGCCATCACCATCGCCTGTGCGTGGCCTCACAGAATTTCGGCCTGCATAGTAGTAATGCAAGAAAGAAGCTAACCTATAGTCCCCAGTCTGGCATTTGCTACCTCCTTAATGACCAATCTTCCTGGCACGTCATCACTATGTTTGGCAATACAAGCACGCTTATTTTTATCTGGACAGACGCCGTACAACTGGAATATGCACAATGCGGTTTCCAGTTTGCGCCACACACACACACACATGATGCTAACTAGTAAGACGGTGCTCCTACATTATCCTCATTAAATCTCAACTCTCCACCTAGCTTGCCTGGGTCCTCATCCATCACCATTTTGCAGATCACAGTTGGAGACAAATCGCCCTGTCTAGCATCACGGCAGCATCTTATTGTACTCCATTGTAGCAACACTTCCGAGTTGGTATACTATCGAGTGTGATATCGAGGCATTGGCGGACGCGCTGCCTAACGAATGGCAACCTATGTAAGCATCCTATACAAAACCGTGTCGGATGTGCTTGCATCACTCAGGGCAGTAACTACAAATCTTTTGTTTATATCGACCTGTTCGGAGTATGCTAAGTAGCGCATACGAGGCTTCCAGACCTTCCCTCCTCTTATTAACATCGACTTGAGTGGGGTAAATGGAGCGCTTTCTCAACGGTGCCTGGCAAGCAACTTATGTACAATGCATGAGTTTACCATGACAATGGCTGTCGGGGTATACTCTCTTGGGTTTACAGAGTTAACTGTTTTTGGTCCATATAGCGCCTTACATGGTCAGCACCATTGCATGATATGTAATCTCTCCTCCGCACATCCTCGTCAAATAAACGATACTAAGAATCTGATTGCGTCTGAACATTTGGTGAATTGAGTCTCATGAAAGCTAACACAATCGACACGGCTGTCATGAGCTCCTGCGGCGGAACGAGCAAGCTTCTGACATTGAGTTGCGATTGGCCTGCAATATCCCCGTTCTCCTCAAGCGACTTCTTGGGACCTCAGTGAAGTACACACCGATATCCTACGTCCGCTCGGATTGCAGAAAGCCAATCAAACTTCATAAACTGTTCCGTCTCCTCTAGGATAGTACTCTCTATGCTTTTTGCCCACTTTACATCCCCACCTGGGTTACTCGATCACTTCGTTGGCCTTCCCCAGCACTATTCGTTCTTTCGCGTGTCAATCCACTGGCCTCTTTCAGAAAGTTGGGCCTGTTTCTCTAAGTCAATACAACTTTGATCCCTATCACGCTTATGTTGACCGAGCCTCGCTGAGACGGCAAATCATGCCCCGTAGCAGAAAATTGTTTCTAAGTAACGCATCCGCTCCGTTCTTGACGCTCTGGCTCCAGAATTACTTCTGTCTCCATCGGAGCGGATTGCTCTAACCTTGGTAGAGTTATGCTTAAGGTTTGATAACCCCATACTTCCGGTAGGCACTAAGCTCTCGTAAGATGTTCCGGTCCTTATTTCAGGAAAGACCTACTCAATCCAAGCAGCTGTAAATGCTACCAAGTTTCAATTTTTTAACAACATATGGTAAAATCTTAACAAGGCTGACTCAAGGAGGTCCGGATCCGACACTCAACCCAAGTTTGTGTGAAGGACCCAAATAACCAACAACACACACGTAAAGGTCACCACTGAGAACCAGCTGGTCATAATTGTTCTCATCAACCTTCACTTTATTTTCACTTGAGTTGCTCACCTGTCGACTGAACCGTATGGCTACCACACACTTACAGCGCACCGGACGATCATTGAATTCTTTCGGGATTCATTAACGACGTGCTTTGTTTTCGATCCAGGGAGGAGTCGAACTCGTGACCATTCCTGTGCAGAAACGGAACCGTCGCATTTTCCATTCCTTTTTGTCGGTCTTCCCTCGTCGGCACTTGTGGAGTATCACTCTATTCCCAGGAACCACCGAGTGTGTACTACCGATATCCCCAGATGATGTTTGTGGACAGACTGGGACGTTCATCGAACTCAACCCGTTCCCGTTTTAGTAGACCCACAGAAAATCACTTCGACATGCATGGTTTTCTGTTGCTGCTTCTAGTTGAATGAGGTCGCGTAGTCGTCACTTGATGGTTTTGAGAACACGCATTCAGTAATTGAGTGAACCTTTCGGTCAGATTGGCACTTACATTCTTCATAAATGGACTCCTTGTAATTGGCCGATCGTAGTTGGTAGATGCATTTCTCGGTGAGCGCGCACTTGGGCTCTTTGCATGTAGACGCTATACTTTTCATGCAGTTATTTTTTCAACTTTTTATTATTATGCTTTCATATGTTTCCCTACCACGATTGAGTAATATTACCATGACAATACAATCATGGAAACAGGAGCCACCGCGCTTTTGCTTGGCTAGTGGTCGTTCAACTTTGCTAAATCTCATACTGATGGTAACGGATTAACCATTGGGGTGTTGATCTGGTCGTTACCAATCCAGCTTATACTTTTCATTCGTAATAACAAGCAGCCTTGTAACTGAATACTCCCCAGCAAACACATACTGATGCATATTCGTTCGGTCCTTGTCGCTTTCCTTCGTAGGCCGTTCAGGTTCTCCTTGCTAACCTATCTACATGGGATTTGACCGGCTAACAATCTTACTGGACCAGCGGTGTTCCTTGCTACTCTTTGCTTGTGTACTCTTGCAATCTCTACCGGTGTGTGCTGCATACACTTATCCGTCTTTCTGATCTCTTTTTCCGCATCTGCAGCTCGCCTACTCAGTCTCATTGGCGAGAAGTGAGCATATGTGGCTCCGTCTACGAAATGCGCAACAATCGTTCCGTTCCAACCGAGGCGAATCGAGTAATGTCTCCATGACGAGCTCATTCCACTCCTTTTATGACACATTGTTACGATGAACTTCCCTCTCCACTCATTTCCCTATTATTTTGCTGTGTATTCACTTGCCACATTCCTCCTTCTCCTCCTCCTCGAATTCGTCAATTGTTTTACCACTCTTGGTAGTGTATGAAACCAGTGTTTGTGCGAAAGTAGTAACCATGCGACCTAACTACTCTGTGCGTTTTACCATCACCTTTAGTTGGCGATCTCAGGATACCGCTCGGTAGTCAATTCTTAATGAAAGTCAGTGGCTAATTGTGTTCACACTTCTCCTCGCACATCATCAACTATCATCCTCACTCCGGTTTTCCGTTGAAGTCTCCGCTCTAATTGATCGATAGTTTGTCTTATCTCTAGTCACATCCCCTTGTTGAGGTGGCCGTTGTCTAAATCCTCTAATCGTTTCTTTCACATGTACCACATTACGATGGGAGCATGCGTTTTTCTCCATTTACTTTCTTGTTCAGTTCAGTTGCGCAATTCTGCTCGGGGCACCGAAATGTGATGAATCCAGTTGACACGACTCACTTCGACAGAATAGCAATGAATAATAATGCTAAGTGAATGCGGTTGAACGCAAACGGAACCTAAAGAAAATGGAATCACGAGAGAAGTTTATTAGACTAATCCGCACAAGAAGAACCTTAACAGCTTGATACAGGAAACCTAGTTTAGGAGCGCCACTGACTGCACGACTGGTATGTCTGATAGTCTCCAACTGCCGGTATGGACCATCCCGGGCTCACGTTCACGAAGACGGCACCACTCGACCAAGTCTGTCAGTCAGTATCTTTACGCCTTTATACCACGTCATCTAGTGGCCACCTCGCGGTTTCACCCAACTTGGTGGAGCGGCAACGTATAATGTACGCCGAGGAAGGTGGTCACTTGGCGTACGGGGGACACGACCGAGCCAACGTGAGCGATTAAAGTTCAGTAGATACTTCAGTAAGACACTGGAGTGTTTCCTACCAAAAACCAACTGGCGGACCTCTGCATCGCTCACCCGGTGTTCCTACCAGTTGTCACACCTTTTTGGTTGGATGACGAACCAAGTTGACTCAATTTTCTGCCACCGTGGTATTCTCTGACCGAGAGGCGTCAGGAATCAATGTCAGTACTAATTGCACAACGATACGACAGTGCAGCCGCTTGGGTTGCCTTTTCCGTGCTTACTTCCTTTCACTGCATCGCTTTTGAGTTCAAACTCTTTCATCCCGGGGTTTTCCACACTGACACTTGTCACGCTTTATCAGTCGCTTGTCATTAAAGATATCCACCACCAAATGGACTAAGAACTTCTCGTGCCAAATTGCGTTGATGCCTCACAACTTCCGACTGTTTATCTGAGTTGGGATAGTGTTACACCACCCAAATCCACACACATGCCTCATGTAGATGTCCCCTGGGCTCGAACCCAGATCCATCGGTCCATTCTCTATTCACTGTACTCGCTGTTTTTAGCAGTTTATTCGATTGAATGTCAAGCTTCTATTTCTTGCGTGGATCTGCAAGCGAGCACACTCGCAACCTGATCTCCTCACTTTCATTTCGTTATTGTTCGCAACGACGGATGAGTTTCCATCAAAAGCGGACCTGGGCTTCGGATTTATACGGATGAATTGTATGAACGAACACACCATGTATCTTGTATTCTCGTCAGATACCCTTTCGGTTCCACATTTGTGCTTCACATTATCACCTTTAACACGGCCAACAGTTCCTCAACTGGCTTGGATTTTTCACCAGCAGTATCGACTTGCTACGAGATGGGTGTGAGGGTGGTTCTCGCTATCATCAGCGCAAATTGCCTGCGAATCCGTGGACTATTGACCGTTTATTCCAATTAGTAAATCATGGATATTCACCATCTGTCTTTCCGCAACTAACAAACTCCATTTAATAATGATAACGATAGCAACAACGACGATAGCCATAATGCTTATTACCCTACTTATTGAAACACATCCCCCTAAGGACTCCGATCAATATTTACGTTACTAAAATTGGCAACCAGTTGTCTGGGGAAACACCGAATTACTACTGTGCAATTCCATTGGTGAAAAAATTAAGGAGTTACTATTATGTGTCAGTGCCTCTTTTAATTTCGGACTGCAGGAATGCGCGGATGTATCGCAGTGTTTAAAACCAGTAACTTCAAATTATGAATTTGCAGTGCATGTCACTTTCCAAGTTTTTCAACGAATTTTGCTTGCGACCGCGTTTCCTTTTTTTCAAGGCTTTTATTTGTCTGAATTCCTTCTCACTACTTTCGGTGTACCTAATCCGTCAATAATTCGACGTTGTATAAAGCAAGATGAGTATGTTGTGAGGTGGTAGTTAACAAAAGTTGATAGTGGGGAAGAATATGTATTTCATCTATTAATGAAAGTTTTTGAATGATAATTATTTTGTTTTCTTCATGGGTCGATCTAGGTATGTTGTGCGTGCTTAGCTTATTATTGAGAACCACGCTCGTGGATCAGTCGAACGTGCTTGAGCCAGTCATTGCGAAATCAAATCTCCGGCGTCGTCCTGTTGCCGCAGATCCCTTCCTTTTGGTTTGTGCACAAGTTGGCTAGTGCTATATCGGATAAAATCGTGTGCCATACATGGTGAAGACACCATGTTGCCATTTGTTGCTGCTCGGTGTCCACACCTGCTTTATCCGACATAGGTTAGCGGAGTGGAGAGTCGAAAATTTGGTCTCAGTCCACCCGCAGTGAACCAGATCTGTTGATTATAGGTCTATTACCGCGCTATACCATTTGTTGTATTCAATCAAACTACGTTGGCTCGATCATGTGTTTCATAGGTCTGTAGACCGGCTACTTCAGTGTATGAACCCTGCCAACAATGCGTCATGTCATATTTTGGACGTTGGCGACTGATGAACACGCTGAATCAGATTCGTTCTATCCTTCTCGTCGGCCACTTCGATGGTTTGAAATGGTCCCTCAGTGTCCACTGAAGTCTCACAATTTTGCGCATTGAGTCAGCTTCGACGCAACCGCCACCAGAGTACATATGCTATTGATCGTGTAGTCCACTGAATCGTCTTGCTTGGACCAGTTCTCGCACTTTGATATCACCAGGGGATTTCTGACTGATTGGTTTATAGATTTATTATGTGCAATATGAGCACGCAGGCCCCATTCCCGGTCACCGTATCCCACACCTCGATTGACGTGACCACGTTGGGTTTCTTGACTGCGCGGTTCTCATTTGACATCCGCGTCATATCCAACTGTACTTGGTGTACCAGAGATCTGAGTGAAATACCCATTTTTCTAGCGTACAGCAGAGGTTCATATCTGCTGGATGGCAAACTGGAAGCCAAGATATGAGGTCATGTGGCTTCCGTAGGCGCTACTCAGATGGTTGACTCATCAAATAGCCTGCGATATAAGTTATTTTTTAATGTGTTCGTTGAAGCGGACGATGTTGCGTTATGCCGCTAACCGAAGATCACTCTTGGACTATTTGCCTCCATAAGATTAGCTTACTCAAACCGAGGCATGAGCTGCTTGACAATAGTGTGGATGACTGCAGTTTGTATGGGGCTTTATGGCCTTAGGTACTGCTACTCTGGCTAGCATTTGGATCATTTCACGTTTTCATTTTGGACACTTGGAGAACACTTCTTCAGGTTGATGACCGTATATCTATACCTGTCCATGTCTGTTGTTCGACTGTGATCCCTCGCACCTAATCTCACTAGATCCGACTACTAGGATTGAGATCACCGCATGGATTATAATTAGCAGCAACTGGAGAATCGAAGAGTAAACTCATACAGATATGTGGGCCAAGTTCACAGTAAAAGGAATTAACAGGACCTAGTTAGCACCGGGGAACGCTAACGGCTAGGAGCAATACATCCTACTATGACATTGCTATCTGGTCGCAAACTCCATCCTGCCTGTGGTGGTTTCGTTGTAACTCGTCGTGCAGTCTTCTACTGGGGCCTGAGTATCCTGTGTTGTGTTTACACCTCGTAATATCACGATGATCATCATGACAAAAAAAAGCATTTCTTGTTGCTCTTTTCTTATTATTCATATTGTTTTCCTATTCGGCCATGATTCCGATGGCACAATATCTGTACCACAGATTGTGTATTATATATATATATATATATATATATATATATGAGACTGGGCAACTGAAGAGAAAATTCGGATCTAATTATTTTGTCTAGTTGACGTGTTGTTTGCTATAGTCTTCAAACGATTACCTACGCTGGTAAGCCGATTTTTACCAGAGGTAACACTGTTGCTTGCGCCCGAAAGGTAGTTTTAGCCTCAACGACTACCTGTACTTTAACTTTCTACTCCCTGTCTACCCCCTCTGTTCCCCCAAGGTGGACGAGGATAACGTCTTGTTGGACAAAACTTTAATAGATCTTTGTGGAGTCACCCTACTCTGGCGTTCTGGATCTGGCTTGTTGGAGAGTGCCAGCGCCAACGACCTTCGCCTAATGGTAAGTCCTATTAGTTTTAGCGTCGTTTCCTTAACCGCGCGTGCCTTCCTGTAAAAGGTTTTCATCCTTGTTGTCCCACGTTTGAATTATTCATACCCATCCACACATGAAACCCGATGTCGATAATTGTCATTTTGTTCAACTTTTTTATTTATTAATGCGTCTACTTCTCGATAAACTGAAAGGCAGTCTTCACGATCTTTGTGCACAGTTTAGAGCGCAAGACGTCCAAATTGAGTCCAGTATCGTTATCCGAATATACGGAAAACCTCTGCACGTCCACAACAGATTACTTTAGGGTCGACCATCAACCAACTCGCCTATCTGACGAGCGTATTCTCCCTTAGTTTTATTTGGCAGTGTTTACAACGGAGACGACAGCACATAAATAACGGAGCTGGTAAAAGTGAATTCCATTTCGTCGTAGTGACGTATTTAACATGACCATATAAAGTTCTAAGTGTGATCTGTGCAAAAAGGTAAGTTGTGCAGCAAAGTGAAGTGACATTTAAAGCAGCGTATCACGTGACACATTACCCGAAAAGAGACAATCACACGTTACCGCTACAAACCTGAGTTCGACATTTGTGGAGTTCAATAGAACTTGTTCGAGATGTGCGGACGCACAAACCTCTTGGGAAACGGTCTACCTTGCTGCTGCTGTTGTTGTTTAGTAATGTATCTCAAGCTGGATGAACGTGGGCTAAAACTTTTCGAGATAAGTCAGCAATGAAGCATCCGGAAGAAGACATTCAAAGCAAAACACGGAGATCAAAAGACGAAGTATTAACCGTTCCGAATTTGTTCACAAGAAAAGGCTAGGAGTGTGACACAGCAGTCTGGCGGCTTCAATATCATTCTTGATTAATTCTACTTTAGACAGTTCACCAATTAGTGTGGCATATGCAGTCCTCGAGATGGGCCACCTCAACACTTAATAAGCAAGAATTAGGTTCGCGGTTGGAAGGTGAAGGTGTATCATACAGCACGCGTCGCAAGGTGTACGGTGCCCACGTCTTGTGGAAGTGCGCCGAAAGCGATCTACACGGGTCTCAAGAGGACGGCACAGTTGAATCCGTTCACCACGCAGTATTCTCATTAGAAGGATGTTGAGAAACATTTAAGCCAATGTGGAGGCTACAAGGTTACAACAATGTAGGCCTTGTAGTTGAGTTAGCACTCCTTGATATCGGCTGACGATATCTACACTACTGTCTCTGGTGATTGAATCCCCACAAGTGAATCTGAGTCATGATTATCAACAGGGCGTATTTTACCAGGAGTCGTGTATCTGCGCCACCAGAAACACAGACTGGTCTATTTCTACCATGCGCGTCTTTTAAAAATAGGCTCTACGTGTCGAATACTTTTAACCGCGCTTTATTGGCCCATAAGGTAGTCGGTACAACGCATGTGTCTCTCCACCTTATTCGGTTTGCGCTGTTCACTTTCCCCGAGAACTTAAGTATCTTGTGCTCGTTTTCCAGACTAGTAATAAGATGTGCCTTTCTCTTAGACGCTAGAGTCTGTTCGTGTATTTGGGGCGGATCAATAGGTACAGGTATGATCATGCTGTTGCATGTTACGTGAGATCTGTTCGCATTCCTAGTCAGTGGTATGCAACACTTTGTATGGAAATTGTTGCGAGAGGGATCATATCTGACAAACGCGAAAACACATTATCTGCGTAAGGTCTTGATGCCCAGAAACGGCAACATACTGTGATCAATTCTGAGAACAATTGCTCAGTTTGCTCAATTCCGACCACTGGTATAAATTCTCTATTCGCTCTGTCAATTCGTATATTGAGACCAAACCTAAGGCTGTGATAGGGTCGATGCATAACCTGCCACTGGCAGATCTGTCCTCACTTCCTGATCAACACATCCAGCATGCTATAGTACAAGACATCGTACCTCGGCTTTGAAGCTGTCTTACTGTGCGACGAGAGTGGACTTTAACGTGCTGCGATGGTTTTGTGCGCCACACCAATCCATTGAGCTGTACTGGGTGGTGCTTTTTGCATCTTCAAACCACTGATACCAGATTGGTCTTCTGGTCCTCCAGGTTGGAGGTTGAAGTGAGGGTAGCTCCTTACTTCGTAAAACGGATTCAATCTAGCCAGTGCCCAAACCCGCTGCCTTGCGGTCAGGTTTTTGAACCAAAGGCTTTGGTTGAGAACCCTAATCGTTCTCCTGTCTAGGTCTGGGCAACCTGACAGTATCCTGCCCACACAATACAATACCATGACTTTTCCCTCAAACAATCTTTTGATGCGCTAGCCGCCGCAGAGTATAATCAACGGCGCCCTATCTGCTTCATCGAGCAGGGTGGATAGGGATTTGTATGCTGCTGCTCAGGCCTTCCGTCTTCTTATTCCCCTCTTGCACTTTTCCATCCTTAGGGTCCCCCTCCAACTTCATTTTTATCCCCCCTGTTTTCAATCAACCAATTTTCGGCCCTCGTCTGTCTTGCATCAATAGTCACTTGTCTTTCAGTTTCAACTCACACGCAATCGCAGAGCGTGGCTCCAGTCCAGTCGACAAGTCCATGTTTAACCAAGCGGACAGCGTCTGATCATCCATTTCTCTTTAGAGTTATCGATCCTCACTAAGACTGATGTGCCTCAACGTGCGCACTTTGTCACAGGTTGGCCAACAGGCAACACTAGACCGCACACTTGAGACCCCGTCGATCGATTTCGCTGCTGATCGGAAACTCGCCTGCAAGACTCGAACTCCGAGCTTACCCCGCAATCCCCCCACATGCGACACTGGCGGCGCTTTCTCATTGCGCCTGTCCGGAGATGATGTAGCTTCAACGGCCGGTCAATTTAACTTGGGAAATGTTTTGAGTCTCGATTGGATCCCTGTCAACAGTCAGACGTGCGCCATCTGATTGGTTAGCTCGTTATAGACTTCGAAGTCGCACGGAGGCAAACGGTGGTTGTTTGTGATTGCGGTCTACGCCCCCACAAACTGTAGCACTGATTCGGTGAGAGATGAATTCTATCACCAACTGAACGCGCTCCTCCGCTCCAGAAAATATACGGATACTATGCTGCTTGCTGGTGTTCTGACGCCCAAGTCCGAGTATTTTCCGTTGATGAGCTTCATCTGGGCGGTGTGGGATCCCGTAATGATGACGGTGAACGGTTTCTACATCTGTTTGAATATGCTCATCTCTTTCTCTCGAGCACTAACTTTCGACACATCACCGCCTATCAGCCTCGGACTAGCCATGGACGCCAATCGATCATATCGCGATAAGTTACCGTTGGAGAGGCTGCGTCCCAAACTTTCACTCGAGTTGCAGCACCGGCGTGGACTCCGATCAGGCTCTTGTATGTGCCGACTTTCGGGTGCGTTTCGGCGAACGTCCGCAACGTCGCTATGAGCGCATAGACGCCAGCCAACTGGCGAAGCCAAGTGTACTCGCTGCGTATACGATGGCATCCTAGCTGAGTAAGCGCCCACTGAAGTTGAGCATCACTGGTCGTACATTTGCTTGACGTCACTGTCAACAGACATGTCTCCATGTGGCAAATCAATTCTCCAACAGGCACATTGGGTCCCTGGAATTTCTGGCTGCTCGCGGACGTATTCTGACTGAAAGCGAACACAATGAAACTCGCATGATTCTCTTGGCAAAACAGTGCTAGACTGAAGAGAGACCGCGAATATCGATGGTCTCATCGTGTGTTGGAGATGGAAACAGCCGCTGTCCTTGATGACCATAGTAAGTTATTCCATCTGATACGGTCTACAGACAAGCTCTCAGGAACGTGACCTCGGTGTGTTAGCATGTGACGACCTCGGTTGTTTCAAACAGTCGGAGTCCGCTTCAACGTGGTAATCAGCATTTTGGTCTCTTGCGGAAGGCATTCGGGAGTCTGGATTCATCCATCTTCTCTGATGTTCAATACCTACGTGCTTCACCACATCGACTACGAGATCCAGGCTATGCATCCTTGGCTAAATCGTGCTCTTGCAGCGCTCCAAACTCCCCAACGTTGAGCAACAAAATTTCTCAAGCGATTGCTCAACCTTCCGTGCTAGCAACGACTGAAGACAATCGGACTGTTCAGTGGACGCTACCGGCGGCTACCTAGAGACCTCATATTAGTCTTACTTGTACTGAGCGACCCCACTCACGTATGCCGCTACCTTTTTGAACTCAGTCCGAACACCAACCTTAGTGGCATTGGCCTGAAACTGGGTCAACAACACAGTCGTATAGATCAGGGGTCACCAACCTTTTTTCTAAGCGGGCCGGATTGGATTTTGCACAATACTACAAAGGCAACACGTAGCAACTTAACGAAACTACTACAAACTGTGTTGCACATTCCGTCGTGAATATGAATGAGTGACGTGCAAAGTACACAAATGGAAGGAATTCAACATATTTATGAAGTGAAAATCATATTAACAGAGGCGACGGCAACTAAAAGTTAGTTTCCTCACTTATGTGCACACATCCGGAAGTTGCAAAGGGCTGCGAAAAAAGTTAGTGAGATCTTTGAAATTGAAGTTTGGCTTTCACAATATCATCAATGTTTGCTTTGGAATGGCTGCAACCGATCAAGAGAATTGCTTTCAAACGTTCATCAGTCAATGTTGTTCCACGGGTTGATTTCACGTACTTCATTTTTGGTAATGTTTGCTCACAGACATCAGTTGTTCCAAACAGATGCCATACCAGATACAAACCTTTTCCGTTCCGGAAATTCAACCTCAGGTAGGGAGCGGTAACATTCGACTAGTTGTCCTTCACTGTGCTTTTATTTGAAAAAGTCATTTGCTTGCAAACCAATTAGCTCTGACTGTAGTTCAGCTGGAACATCATCAAGGTTGCAATCATGCGGCTTCTGGTACAGAAGAATTTTACTCCCAATTATGTCAAGATCTGAAAATCTCTCCAAAAAATACTTTTTCTGTTCACGAATAGCTGCTCTCGGAAACTCGAGCAAGGCGTCTTCGGTGATCGTAGCGCAAAAC